ACCTGCTTGGGAAGTTTGAGCTCACAGGCGTACCTCCTGCACCCCGAGGTGTTCCTCGGATTGAAGTCACTTTCGATACTGATACCATGGTATCCTCGATGCTTCTGCTGTAGGTGAGAGTACAGGAAAAGAAAACAAGATTACCATCACCAATGACAAAGGCCACTTGAGCAAGGAGGACATTGAGCGCCTGGTGCAGGAAGCTCAGAAGTACAAAGCCAAAGATGAGAAGCAGAGAGACAAAGTATCATCCAAGAACTCACTGGAGTCTTATGCATTCAACATGAAAGCAACAGTTGAGAAACTTCAAGGAAAGATCAACCATGAGGACAAACAGAAGATTCTCGATGAGTGGAACAAAATCATCAGTTGGCTGGATAAGAATCAGACTGCTGAGAAGGAAGAATTTGAGTACCAGCAGAAAGAACTGGAGAAAGTCTGCAACCCCATCATCACCAAGCTGTACCAGAGTGCCGGTGGGCCCCTGCGAGGACGAATGCCTGGGGGCTTCCCTGGTGGCAGAGCTCCCCCCTCTGGTGGTGCATCTTCCCGGCCCACCATCGAAGAGGTTGATTAAATTCAATCCAAGTAGAGATGTAGGGCATTGTTCCACAATAAAATATCTGAAGGACCCAAATTTAGCAAGTCCAGTGTCAGTTTTAAGGTTGAACTGCTACAATAACTGGGCATTCTTAATGCTTGAATAAAGAACATGGGCATCAGAAAAGGAAATAACATTGTACTTTATGAGCACTGTAAGTAGAAAATGCAGTATCTTAAAAACCATTTAAAATTGGCACCATTAAAAAAAAAAACTTCCATCTGAAATTGTCATGTGGATAATAATTTCTACTTAAAGTCAACAATACATATAAACTCTTTAATCTGATTTCTTAAGAGTCCAAATTAGTACTATCTTTCCTGATCAGTCACGTTCCTCTTACCCTTTAAAGTGGGATTTGAAATGAAATAGAACAGCTTCAGCAGCTGAACCAGTTTTGAAGAAGGAAAAATGGTTTCACATAAAAACCTGTGGGATTGGGGCTGGAGAGATGGTTCTGCAATTAAGAGAGCATATTGATCTTGCAAAGAACCCGAGTTTGATTCTCGGCACCTCTATCAGGTGCCTCACAACCGCCAATAACTTCAGTTCTATAAGGATCAGATGCCTCTGCCCTCTGCAAACACTACCCTCATGTACTCTGCAATTAAGAGAGCATATTGATCTTGCAAAGAACCCGAGTTTGATTCTCAGCACCCCTATCAGGTGGCTCACAACCGCCAATAGCTTCAGTTCTATAAGGATCAGATGCCTCTGCCCTCTGCAAACACCACCCTCATACACACACACACACAAACATAAAATAAAAATGTGTGAAGTATATGTTACTGAGAAGCCCACGTTGGTTCCTCCCTTTCCATCCATTGAAGTAGAAGTGCTGTGTGCAACCTCCAAGAGCCACATTATTAGAACCTATTCCTTCCCCATGATGGCGAGATGCTGATCTGATAAAATGTGGTGGTGATTACAGTAGAAAAGCCTGTGAGCTCGTAAGTGTGAAGAAATTGGTAGTGTAAAAAGATAGGCCTCCCAGGTGCTGGAGGTGCCTCCCTTTCCATCCATTGAAGTAGAAGTGCTGTGTGCAACCTCCAAGAGCCACATTATTAGAACCTCTTCCTTCCCCATGATGGCGAGATGCTGATCTGATAAAATGCGGTGGTGATTACAGTAGAAAAGCCTGTGAGCTCGTAAGTGTGAAGAACTTGGTAGTGTAAAAAGATAGGCCTCCCAGGTGCTGGAATATCTTCAGTTTTCAATGTTCACTTAAAATTGTGTATGTATGCTGGCGTGGTGGTGCATGCCTTTAATCCCACCACTCAGGAGGCAGAAGCAGTCAGATCTCAGTGAGTTCAAGGAAGGCCAGCCTGGTCTACATAGTTTCAGAACAGCTGGGGCTACAGGGAGACTCTGTCTCAAAAAGACCAAAAAAGAAAAGACAGGAGCTAATTTACACACAGGTATTACAGGTATTCTTCCAAAAAGCCGCTCCTCCTTGGCTTTCGTTCCCTTCTCTTCCAGCCTCTGAAGCTCTCCTTGCT